TCATAAAATACTTTTTTTATTCATTCACTAAAGTTGAAATACATTTTTTTTAACTTGTAGTAGATGACACTGGATGTTAATACAGTTTTTTCAAATATTAATTCAGTAATTAAATTTAATTAATTCATTTTTGTTTTTGTTTTTAGATTTAAGTTGAATATATCTACCAATAGATGGCACCAGATAAACATAAAAAAAATGAATGAAAATTATTTATAAAGGATTTTCTACAATATAGTGAAAAAAAGTAGGAATTGACTTTAAATTTTTTTTTTATATTACTTGTTTTCTTTTATCTTTATGCAGTCACGGCTTTGATGTAATTATTGTCATTGTTATGAGTTAATGTTTTGCATTCCATCTTTATGCTCCAATCTCATGCAACTGTGATGCATGGGACCCAATGATGTAAAATCAAGTGCTTTTGCAATGATAAAAATAAAACATCGGTGGGCCTTCTGTTCCTTTTATGCGTACCTCTAACAGCCCACCTATATGTGATGATGGTTGAACATTAAACATTCAGGGATAACGTTTAAGACTAACTGCCCCACATTTGAGTGTCTTATGGAAGAAAACCCAGTAAACTCCAATCATGTGTCCTGATATCGATGAGAGACATTTAACATATATTTTCACAGTTGCTATTTTCTTTCCACGATGTCTCTGTGAGTAGTAACTGCATCAAATGCCAACAGCGTATTCTAGTATCTTTCCTTCTCTCCATACTAATGGATCATGATTCGATCCGTTCGAAAATTATTATTAACTTATATATTATAACGTTGAAGGGCCTGAATGGCCGAGTGGCTAGCGCTCGGTACCACAGGTTTCGGGGTCGAGTCCCAACGCTGCCATGGATGTGTGTAGTGGTTCGAATCCACTTTAAACCGTAGGTCCCGGTCTAATAGGATCGTAGAGCGTTGCGGGGCATTGTGACTCCGCGTCCGTGGCTTATCTTCAAGCTACACGCGCCCCCTGGGTAATGCAAAGTGAGTAACGTCTGTGCAGCGCTTGCCTTAAGGCATCCAAGACGTCCATGTCTGTTTGCCAGCTGCATTGGAAAAAAAAAACTGTAACGTTGAAGATCGAGCATTTAAGACTAACTGCCCCACATTTGAGTGTCTTAGGGAAGAAAACCCAGTAAATTCTCACCATGCATCCTGACTATCGCTGAGAGAGAGGCATTTAATGAAAGGGGAAACTGCATAAAAGGTCATCAGTGCATTCTAGCATTATCCCTTCTCTTCATATTGCCGATGGGACGCGAGTAGATAAATTTGGAAAATATTAACTTATTCAATTCCTTCTATTAGCTCACACTCTCCCTATATATATCTTGTTCAAATTTTCAATCGTTAATAAAATACTTTTTATTTATCCACTCAAGTTCAAATGCATTTTTTTAACTCGTAGCGGATGACACTTGATGACAATATAGTTTTTTCAAATATTAACTCATTCATTAAATTTAATTTATTAATTTTATTTTTTTAGATTTAAGTTGCCTGTATCTAATAATAGATGGCGCCAGATGCAAGAGGGAAATTTCAACTTTATTTGTAAAGAACTTTTCTGCAATATAATGGGAAAAAAATACGAATTGACTTTAAATTTTTTTTTTTTTTTTTTTATATTATTCATTCTGGGTTCTAGTCTGAGTCAAGGAGGGGACAAAATGGAAAATGGAGCATGTGAATAAATTAGTGAGAGAGATGGAAAGTGTGTATGTGAGAGAGAGAGAGAAATTTTTCTAATTAAAAAAAAAAAAAATGAATGAAAATTATTTATAAAGGACTTTCTGCAATATAGTGAAAAAAAAGTAGGAATCGACCCAAAAACATTTTTTTTATTACTTGTTTTATACGTTGTTGTGAAAAGTATCTAAGTTTTTTTTCAAATTTTTAACGGATAACATTAATGTACGAATCAAAATTTAAGCATTAGTAATTTTAAATTCGCTATAGTTAAAAAATGATTAAAAAAATTTTGCACAATTTTTTATTAATTGTGATTTAATAGGAACAGCACTATTGAAGAACCACTGTATTATGGGAAAAGTTTTAATAATCAATTCCTTCTATTAGCTCACACTCTCCCTATGTATATCATGTTCAAATTTTCAATCGTTCATAAAATATTTTTTTATTCATCCACTCGAGTTCAAATACATTTTTTTGAACCCGTAGTGGATGACACTTGATGCCAATACAGTTTTTTTCAAATGTTAATTCATTCATTAAATTTAATTCATTAATTTTAGTTTTTTTTAGGATTAAGCTGCGTATATCTACCAATAGATGGCGGCAGATAAACTTAAAAAAGTGAATGAAAATTATTTATAAAGTACTTTCTGCAATATAGAGAAAAAAAAAAAGTAGGAATTGATTTAAAAAAAATTTTTTTTTATATTATATTACTTGTATATTATAACTTTGAAAATTAAACCCTAAATAACTATCTTTTGATGTAATAATTTAAATAATTAAATTATCAATAAATTAATTTGCAACGTTTAATAATAAAACACGCGCTAATTCATAAAAAAAAGGTATTTTCCCTTTAAATTCAGTGTACTTTCGTTCTTATTTAAAGGAAAAAGGATGATAATTTCAGATATGCAGTTTTTCAAAACTGATAAGATAAATTTAATTCCATTGTGCAACATATTGCTTCGATGCTTTTTCACTTTAAATCAAATATCTCTTTTTGAAACTAAATTATTAATCTTGCTTGATTTAAAAAACAAGGCCATCAATATTCATCGCGTATTAAAATTATCTGCGTTTATTTGTAATAGATAATGGATTTCGGTTATATTCTAATGATTATTAAAACTTTTGACATAATAACAGGTGGGTTGAGAAGTTCGTAGGCTGACACATAGATGGCGCTACTAGTATTAAATCCATATGATTTTTAGTCAGCCCTAAACTTCAAAAGACACGTGTATAAATTTGACAGCTGTTGCACTATTAGTATGTGAGTTATAGCATTTTTAGTGTTCATCACGTGCAGTCCACTCGGCTGAGTGTCGATTGGACTCCGATGTGAAATGATGGAGCCATATTTCATCCATTGTCACATATCGACGCAAAAATTCGGGTTTATTACGATTGAACAGCTCCAAACACTGCTTAGAATCATGAATTCGTTGTTGCTTTTGGTCCATTGGGAGCTCGCGCGACACCCTCTTTGAACAGAGCTTTCGCATATCCATATATTCATTCACGATATGTCCAACACGTTCCTTTGATATATTTAAGGTCTCAGCTATCTCAATCAACTTCACTTTACGGTTATCAGAAATTATTTTGTGGACTTTTTTGATGTTTTCGTCTGTTACAGCCTCTTTGGGGCGTCCACTGCGTACATCTTCCTCGGTGCTCATTTCGCCTCGTTTAAATTTAGCAAACCACTTCTCTACGGTTGATTTTCCTGGTGCAAAGTCCGAATAATGTTTATCAAACCTAACCTTGGCTTCAATAGTATTTTTTTTCTCCAAAAAACAATGCTTCATTAACACACGAAATTCCTTTTTGCCCATTTTTTCAAACTAACAAAAGTTGCTCACTAAAAATGCTGTAACTTCCATACTAATAGAGTAACAGCTGTCAAATTTATACACGTGTCTTTTGAAGGTTAGGGATAGCTAAAAATCATATGGATTTAATACTAGTAGCGCCATCTATGTGTCAGCCTATGAAGTCCTCAGCCCAACTGTTAAAGTGGTTCTTGAATAGTGAGGTACAACATATTTCCTATGAAAATTTAAATCATCACTAATAAAAAATTGTGTAACATTTTTTTGATAATTTTTTTTTTTAATTATAATGAATTTAAAATTACTAATGCTTAACTTTTGAATCGTATATTAATATTACCCGTTTAAAACTTGAACAAAAAATTAGATATTTTTCAAATAACGCATAAATATGTAAAATAAAAAAAAAAAATTTAAAGTCATTTCCTACTGTTTTTTCACTTTATTGCAGAAAAGTCCTTTACAAATAAAGTTGAAATTTTCCTCTCACATCTGGCGCCATCTGTTATTAGATACATGCAACTTAAATCTAAAAGAAAAAATAAAATTAATTAATTAAATGGAATTAATGAATGAATATTTGAAAACTGTATTAACATCCAGTGTCATCCACTACACGTTCAAAAAATGTATTTGAATTTGAGTGGATGAATAAAAAGCATTTTATTGAGGATTGAAAATTTGAACAAGATATATATAGGGAGAGTGTGAACTAATAGAAGGAATTGAAAAACGTTTTATTTTTTTTTTTTTTTGTTCTAATGCAGCTGGCAAACACTTAGACAGCTTGGTCTTGGATGTCTTAAGCCAAGCGCTGCACAGATGTTATTCACTTTGCATTACCCAAGGGGCGCGCGTAACTTGAAGATAAGCCACGGACGCTGAGTAACAATGCCCCCGCAACGCCCGCCCGCTATTAGGACCTGGACCTAAGGTTTAAAGTGGATTCCGAACCACTACAAACATCCAGGGCACTGCCGGGACTCGAACTCGAAACCCGTGGTACCTAGTGCTAGCCACTCGTCCATTCAGGCCTGTTAAAGCAATTATTTACTTAGATATATTAGAAGTTGCATAGATTGTTATTCTAGTGTCATAAACTAATTTAATTTTTAAAATGTATATGGTTAGCACGGGGCCTGATGTCCGAGTGATTAGCGCTCTGTAATGGTTTCGTGTTCGAGTCTCAGCGGTACTATGGATGTTTATCATGGTTAAGAATCTAATTTAAACCGTAGTTCACGGTCTAATATGACATCACTGTGCCCAGACATGTCCCTATACAGTTTGGGACTGTTGCTCGTGAGAGGTCTGATTGGGCTCTGTAACGCTCTACAGTCATATGATACCATGACCTACGGCTTAAATTGATTCCGATTGCACCGCCGGGATTAGAAATCTGTGGCACCAAGCGCCAGACACACTCTCCCTTCAGGCCAAAAGTTTGAATGGCAATGGCACACGGTGTTCCAAGGCGGCCACCTTCCCAAGTACTGACAGCGTGCGATGAAGCTTAACTTCGGTGATATATTCGAACGAGAACCGATATATTCAACATGGTACGACCGTTAGCAAAAATTTGAATAATATAATATGACTGTTGGGCGCAGGGCTGATAACTTTACCCCGTAAAAAAAGAAAAACATTTCTAGTCTCGAGATATACCAGTGGGACAACAGTCTTGGTCTATAATGGGGCTGTTACGCCAATGAAGAAGATATGATAAGCAATTTCTTTTCTTGGAAAATTCCAGATTTTGATGGAAGATTAAAACTTGATCCAGAAAAGAATATTGAAAACTCGATTAATGTTAACCATATGGCAGATAATTATTGAACATGTCTTGCTGCAAAAAATATATAATAATTCAAATACAAAACCACTTTTTAAATCAATGACGTTTACATTTTTCATTATATACTACTGTGCCCAAAAAGTAAGACCAATTACTTTTTTTTTTTTTCAAAAACTCTTCATCTATTCTTCCGAATTTACTTCATCGCCTTCAAAGTTATCAACCTCCGGACACATTGCACTTATGCCAACTTATTTCCCAATCCTCTATGCATGCTAAAAAGTCATCGGAGGGATGGCCTTCAAAGAGCGCGGCGATACACGTTGAATCCTTCAATCCGACTCAAAACGGTGTCTTTTGAGTTTAGGGAATAGCCAGAAGTCGCGTCGAAGAAGTTGTGGAACGATATGGGTTTCATATTTGGCGAAAGAATCACGAAGAATCATTGCAGTGTGAACTGGCGCATTCAGTGTTTTCAGTACCAATCGAGATTTTACGCGTTTGAGGCCCAAAATGGAAATTACCGATCCTTTTGAAATTCCAAAATCAAAAGATAATACTTTTTTTTTATCTCGTTTTCAGAACTCGTTGCTTCATATATATATATACGTTGTCCTGCCAAAAATAATGCATTGCAGAAAATTACACATCGCGAACATAATCTAAATGTTCCAATATATGTGCATATTAATTTTCACGGATATCTCTTGAAAACCTGTACCACCAGCTGGAGGCAAGTAACAATAAAGTGGATAGCATGAACCTATTTTCCATGCTCGAATACATATTATTATCAATTTTCAAAGCGACTTACAACAAAAGGGGTAGAATAAAAACATTCTCCACGTTTTGTCAAACACACACAAAATTTGATTAAAATGGGTCAAGTGGTTTAGGAGGAGTTCAGTGACAAACACACGTACAGAAGAACCGTTATCTGACAAACTAGAACCAGGAACATATAGAGGTTGCATGTTAATTTATCAAAATTATAAACACACACACATATATATAGATATATATATACACATATATAATCATACATGCATATATATACACATACATATGCAGGTGTCTCAGCAATAACGGATAAACTCTGCACAGCCAGATTTGTTATTTGAAATACATAAAAATCCCCAAACAAATGTACCTTTATGACACACAGTTTCCGAAAAAAATGAGAGCGCAAATGTATGACATCATAACCGGTTTACGAAAAAACCGCTATTAGAAACATGAACATCAGTATTTGCATAATTTTAAATGGGAAGATATTCGAAATATCCCCCGCGAAAGTTTTTTTTTTCGTAAACCGGATATGACGTCATACATTTCCTCTCGCATTTTTTCTCGAAAGCTATGGGTCATACAGGTACAGTTGTTTGGGCATTTTTACGTACTCTAAACAACGAATCGGGCTGGGCAGTTTATCCGGTCTTGCTAGACACCATGTATATACACACACATATATATATATATATATATTTATATATATCTTAAGAAGTAAATAAAGAGTTTGAAGTGCATCATTATATTGATTTTAATACATCTTCAATTGATTTTTTTTTATTCTCAGTAATCATTGGAAAGAATGTTCACACATATATTAGTAAGTTGATCCAAATATACTCGCACATTTTAACACACTATCAACAAACAACCACAGCTAACTAAATTGACAATTCCGTAAAGCACATAATTAATTTTTGAAGAAATCATTCGACAATGTATAATACTTTAACGACCAACAGGGTTCAGAATCGTGTTAGGATAATTAATAAATAAACTGATAATAACAAATAAATCATAACTGTATCCATAGAAAACTTTATTAACAGAAGTTCTTTTTTATTGTAGTTTGCAATAAATCATAAAACATTGAATAAAAAATATATTTTGTTAAATATTTTGTGCTAACTTTCTTTTTAAATCAGAATCAGATGATGTATTTATTTTACCTCGAAACCTGAGAATATTTTAAAAATTATCTACAATATTACGTTCTAAAATAAAAGTGAAAAAATTACGGATAAAAAGCAAATGTGACGCCAATGCAGGTTCACTTTTTTAAAAAGATAGCGGTGAATATATTTGTACATCTGATAGTTAAAATCAGTAATTTATGCCTAATTCCAGACACAACTTTTTTTTTCTGCTATTTATCGTGTACTTAGTTCTACTTTATCAATTCATTAGCGCCAGTAGAACTGAATAACTGGTTTTATGAGTCATACACTACTGACTGTTGTCATCGTTTCCAGATCAAAACACCCATTCGGTTTTACGCCAACAAGTCGCCAAGTTGCTATTTTATCGCCCAGTGACAAATATTTAATTCGGTTTTTTTTTTAAATTAGTTAATGCAAATACATAACAACTGACAGTAAATCATAATGCATAGAAAAATACAATTTATTTATAAAACAATTAAAAAATAAAAATAATCTATCTTTAGTATATAAGTTGAAACAAGAATAATTTTAATCCCTTTTTTTTTTACAAAAATAATTTATAAATATGAAAAATTTAGTATTATATAGCTGGCAGAAATTTTTATAATAAATAATATATTAAGTAGTATATGCTTTTTTTTTATATTATTATTTCTAATAAAAATAATTTTCAAACTTAAAACAAAGTTTTTTCAAATACATATTCTTCATTTATACATATTTTATCTTGTATACATATTTCAACATGTAAGATACATATTTTTAACACTTATAAAACCACTAAAACAAGTTCAAAGAAAATTAAACTGTCTTTATCTGTGAAGACTCAATGAAGGTAATATTATGATTCATTTTGTCATAATTTCTTAAATAAACAAATAAAAAATAAAATAAACTCAATAATTTTTAAATTTAAACACATTTTAAGATAAACAAGTTTATTTTATGGGAAACCTATGAACATTATCAAATTATGAATCGTTTCTGATAAACAAGCTGAAATTTTACACCTCTACTGAAGACAGAAAAAAATAATTAAAAAAATTGTATAAAACAGTAAAACAAAATTACTAGCGTATAAAAAAGTCATTTTTATATCTATAAATGATTGAATAATTGTAAATAAATAAAAATTTCGAAAACTATGTTTTGATTTTTACTTTTAAATTGCGAGGAAAAATAAGTATCAATAATTCAACTATTGTAAATATTTAGATTTCTTGATTTAAAAAAATTAATTAAAAATAATATTCATTTGAATCAATTTATTTATTGTGATGTTAGTAGTAAATCAATTTTTTTCCTTCATAAGTTTTCTGTAGTATACCATCACGAGTTAAATTTGGGAACTACAAAAAGTATACAATCAAATTTTTCATTCAATTATATAAAAACAATTATAATGATAATATAAAACAACAATTAACTAATAACTACATAAAAATATTACTACTGTGTTAGAATATTTTTAATAATTCTTAACATAATAAACAACATTTCAAAGGATGCAGCTAAAACTAATATAATTTGCACTTATTGTTTAAATATCTCAACCTTAGAAATAATATTTTAATTAATGAAATATAACAATTGTAAATGTTACATACTAAATGTTAAATACAACATAATTTATAAATTATATTATATGTATACTATATATTTTATAAACAATATATTTTTATAATTTGTTAACATAATAAACAACATTTCAAAGGATGCAGCTAAAACTAATATAATGTGAACTTATTGTTTAAATATCTCAACCTTTAGAAATAACATTTTAATTAATGAAATACAACAGTTGTAAATGTTACATACTAAATGTTAAATACAACATAATTTATAAATTATATTATATGTATACTATATATTTTATAAACAATATATTTCTTATAATTTGTTAACATAATAAACAACATTTCAAAGGATGCAGCTAAAACTAATATAATTTGCCCTTATTGTTTAAATATCTCAACCTTAAAATAATATTTTAATTAATGAAATACAACAGTTGCAAAACATTATTTAAATGTTTCATACTAAATTTTAAACACAAAATACTTTATGAAATTTCATTATATGTATACAATATATTTTATAAACAATATATTTCTAATAATATTTTAACGTAAAAAAACAACATTTCAAAGGATTCAGCTAAAACTAATATAATTTGCACCTCCATGTTTAAATATATTCAACCTCAAAAATAATAGTTTTGAGCTCAGAAATACAAAAATTCAAATGTTACATACTAAATGTTAAACACAACATACTTTATGAAATTCTATTATAGTATACAGTATATTTTTATAAACAATATGTTTCTTATAAATTTTTACATACTAAAACAAAATTTCAAAGGATTCAGCTGAAACTAATGTAATTTGTAAATTTATTGTTTAAATATATCAACCCTTTAAAAATAATATTTTACTCAATATTATGCCAACAATTAGGAAAAATTATTTTCATACAAATGTTAAACACAACATAAAGTATGAAATTCCTATTACACGTAAACAATATATATGTTGGTGTCAACTTTAAAAATTTGAAATAAACATTTTTATGTATAGATTATTAATATCAAATAAAATCATACATTCCAATTACATTACTAGTTAAAGTATA